CCTGCTGGCCCCTACAAATTACTTTTTTTTTTTTTTTTTGGAGAGGTTTTCGCTATAGGGCGTGTGCACTCCCCAGAAAGACAGAGAGAGACAAAAAGCGAGAAATCACACCCCCCAGGAGGGATAGCCATGCCGCAATCCCTTCTCCTCCATTCTCCTCTCAGGATCCTGGGCACGCATGCACACGCGCCCGGCGTGAGTTTAAGCCACCGGATCTGAGACTTGAACCGCGGTAGACTACACGGGAATCCAGCGACATAGCCATTACGCTAACTGCTGGTCCCACAAATTAACATTTTTTTAATACTACACAATTTTTTTTTTCCTTTTTGGAGAGGTTTTTGCTATAGGGTACATGCGCACACCAGAAAGACAGAGACAGAGAGACAGAAAGCGAGAAATCAACCCCCCCCCAGGAGGGTTAGCCACGCTGCAATCCCTTCTCCATTCTCATTTTGGGATCTTGGGCACACATGCACACACACCCAGCATGAGTTTAAGCACCGGGTCCGGGACTCGAACTGCAGTTGACTACACGGGAGTCCAGCAACCTAACCATTACGCCAACTGCTGGTCCCCACAATTTTTCTTTTTAAGTGAGTTCCCTCATGCAAGCCGTCAAGCCTACCATAGGGTAATCGTGTGTATATATAAGAGGTGGCTCTGCTTTGTTTGGAGGTTGGTCCAAGATCATGTAGAATTCCAATGCATGGAAAGGTTTAAAATTCTATCTCACAAAGCTCCAGTATCAATGCTAATTTCCTTATTAGTATTTATTAAAGTACTTATTCAAAAATTGTTAAAGTTTCTTTTTCTAGAGAATTATTTAACTTCATTTATTATTATTATTTATTATTCAGGTTTTTTTTTTTGGGGGGGAGGTTTTCACTATAGGGTGCATGCGTTCGCCAGACAGATAGAGACAGAGAGATAGAAAGCAAGAAATCACCCCCCCGGGGGGATAGCCACGCCGCAATCCCTTCTTCTCCATTCTCCTCCCGGGATCTTGGGCACGCATGCACACGTGCCTGGCATGAGTCTAAGTCACTGAGTCTAGGACTTGAACCGCAGTTGACTACAATAGGAGTCCAGCAACATAGTCATTATGCTAACTGCTGGTCCCTATTTTCCAGTTTTGATCAGAGACAGACAGAAAGGGGGGTGGGTGGGTGAGAAAACAAGCCACCAGGTCCAGGACATGAATTGTGGTTGGCCAGGTGGGAGTCCAGCGCCTTTAAGTACCATGCCACCTGCTGGCTCCCAAAATTGTTAAATTTTCACGTAAGTGCTGGAACCCTCAAAATTAATCATTTCAAACAATACTCTTTTTCTTTCCTTTTCTTTCTTTCTTCTTCTTTTTTTTTTTTTTTTTGTTATAGAACACATGCACTTGTGAGGAGAAAGGAGAAAGGGAGGAAAAAGTGAGGCTGCACTCCCAGAGATAGCTGACACACTGCGATCCTTCCCCTCCAGTCTCCGGTCAGGATCTTGGGCATGCACACACCCGCCTGTGTGTTTTCATGCCTCCAGGTCCAGGACTTGAATAGCGCAGCCGGCCACGTGGGATCCAGAACCTTAATCTGCACACCACCTGCTGGCCCCAGGACACTCATTTCAGATGACCCTTTTTATTTAGAAGCCCTGCATCCCTTTGTTTTCACCAAAATAAAGCCTTACTTCAGCTTAGTAAAAGAACTCAAACTAAAATATAGTTGTACCTTTTTAAAAGAATATTTTATTTAACTTTATTTATTATTTATTTATTTTAATTTGACCAGAGAGGGATAGAGTGAGAAAAAGAGAGAGAGAAAGTGAGAGAGTAAGTCACCAGGTCCAGGTCTCAAACCACAGTCGGCCCATGTGGGAGTCTAACGCCCTTAACTACCACACCAGCCTGCCAGCCCCTATACCTGTAGTTCTTAAATAACAAATAAGGAGCCAGCACATGGCATAGTAGTTATATCGCTGGCCTCCCACATGGCCAACCACAGTTCAAGTCCCAGACCTGGTGGCTCGAAACTCATGCTGGGTGTGCGTGCATGCATTCCCAAAGTCCCAGGAGGAGAATAGCAGAAACAGGACTACAGCATGGCCATCCCTTCTTGGGGGTGATTTCTCAATTTCCCTCTCACTGTCTCTGTCTCTTTCTCTCCAGTGAGCACATGAGCCCTAAGGTAAAAAAAAAAAAACTTCTACCAAAAAATTTAAAAAAGAGAAAAAACCATTTTGCCATTTTGGAGAGTCCTGGGAGACCCGATGTTGTACGGCAGCTCTCACTCTCATTTGTTTACGAATGCCGTCATCGATGTTCTTATGCGTCCTCTTGCCAAACCTGTCAATTCTTCAACCTCAGCATTTAATTTATGCATTACCCATTCCACTGCTTCTCTGCCTTCAGTAGCACTTGAAGGTACCAGACTTGCCATGAGTCCTTGAATGTACTGCTGAGGCTGACTCCTTTAAGAGTGATTATGGCTTCTTAAGTTAAAATAGCTTTTTTGAGGCTGTGGATTATACATAAGTCTCTCATCTACTGAAACCATGTATGTAAATGAAGTATTAGTAGACTTAAGTTCCATCATTCTCTCTAGGGGATGAACCACAGGGTGTTCCTGAAAGAATGTCTTGGTTCTTGCTGCCCCGATAAGAGACTTCGCAATGGAAGGCAGTCCCCACTCTGTGCTGAGCAGTAGTAGGTGGCTGTGCAACTTTCCAGAGAGATCTATGTGTCTGTCTAGCATGTCACCTCCAACCACACTTGGGTTCACAGGATTTGGGTACTTCCGCATTGCAGTTGCTGTAACTGTCTCCCATGAATGGCTGAAGCCAAGGTCCGAGGCTTAAATGTGTATCCTTTATATATATACTTATAAATATGATATTCACTATCATTTAAAAAAGAAAAGAAAGGCTGGGAAAGCAGTTGGCATAATGGCCATGTCGCTGGATTCCTACGTGGTCAACTGCAGTTAGAGTCCTAGATCTAGTGGCTTAAACTCACGCCGGGCACGTGTGCGTGCGTGCCCAAGATCCTGAGAGGAGAATGGAGGAGAAGGGATTGTGGCATGGCCAGCCCCCTGGGGGGTGATTTTTCACTTTCTGTGTCTCTCTGTCTTTCTGGCAAGTGCACGCGGGGGAGAGTAATTCATTAACTGGTAAAAAAAAAAAAAAAAAAAAAAAGAAAGAAAGAAAGAAAGAAAAGAAAACAAAAGAAAGAAAGACAGACATTCCCAACAGGGCCTTTGCACTGCAACCCACTCCTTGCTTCAGTCAGTCCTAGATCATGGGTATGCATGAATGTACTCAGGGAAGTCTCGGCATGTGAACCCATAACCTTCCAATGTGGGTCACAGCACTGTACTGCTGCTGTGCTAGTCTAATCCCTAACATCACTCTTTAATGATATGATGAATATTAAAAATAAGGTATAAAGGGCCGGCAGGTGGCGTGATGGATAGAGGTACTAAATTCCCACATGGCCGACTGTGGTTTCAGTCCTGGACCTTGCAGCTTGCTTTCTCACTTTCCCTTTTTCTCTCCTTCTGGTCAAATTAAAAAAATAAATAAATAAATGGAACTAAAAAAGGAAATAAAGAATTCTTTTTAAAAAAGCGGTAACTAGATAATGGAGAGTATATGAGATGAGTTGAAGTGGTTTCTCTACAACAATCAGAAAAGATTATAATCAGATATCACAGGGCCAGCACCATAGCACAGAAGTTAAACTGCACATGGGAAGGTTCTGGGTTAGCACCCAGATGCTCCCTGAGTATGCCAGGCACACGCCCAGGACCTGGGGCTGGCCGAGGCTAGGGGTGGACTACAGGCGTTATCCCAATGTCCTCTCTCTGTATCTGCTCATAGAAGATATATTTCTCTGCATTTCTGAGGACAAAAGAAATACGTCATGACTTTTCCAATGACCCAATAAATAAATAAGCTAAAAAAAAAGAAAGAGTAGTTTTGAGGCCGGCAGGTGGCATGGCGGTCGGGGCTCTGGATTCACACATAGACAACTATGGTTCAAGTTCCCAATCTGGCAGCTTGCTTTCTCACTTTCCATTTCTCTCTTTCTGCCTCCTTCTGGTCAAATTAAATAATAATAATAGTAGGCCGGTCGTTAAGGGCACTAGATTCCCACGTGGCCAACTGCGGTTCGAGTCTCAGACCTGGTGGCTTGCTTTCTTACTTTCCCTTTCTCTGGTAAAATTAAAAAATAATAACAAATGTAAATAATAAATAATTAGAAAATAAAGAATTAATAAAAATAATAACAGTAACAAATATAGTTAAATAAATAATACTTTAAAAAAAGAGGGACCAGTAGATGGTATAATGGTTACGGCACTGGACTTCCACATAGTGGACTGTGGTTCAAATCCCAGACCTGGTAGCTTAAAAGTCACACAGGGCACATGTGCAAGCATGGCCAAAATGCCAAAAGGAGAATGGAGGAGAAGGAACTGTCTCATGGCCACTCCCCTGGGGGTGATTTCTCACTTTCTGTCTCTCTGTCCATCTCTGTCTCTCTGGCAAGTGCACATGTCCTATAGCAAAAATTTCTAAAAAATTTTTAAATTGTTGTATTTGGTGCTAGGGTTTTCATGGACTAAATATTGATTGTCATACATCTGATAAAAATTCTTTAAGCCTCCTCTATGCTATCCCAGGCAATAAGCCAGGTCCTGAGGACACAGAGGTCACTATTAATTTATATCATGCCTCATTTCATAAAGAATTTGAGAAACTAAAAAAAAAAATTGGGTCATCAGAAAAGTCATGATGCGTTTTTACATAGAAAACCACAGAAAAGTGGCTGGCAGATTGCATGGTGGTGAGGGCAGTGGACACCGACATGGCTGACTGCAGTTCAAGTCCCGCACCTAGAGGCTTGCTTTATCACTTCTCAATCTCTCTCTCTCTCTCTCTCTGTTACACTCTGTTCAAATTTAAAAAATACTAACAATGATGATTAATACAATTAAATAAAAGAATTCTTTTAAAAAGTACAATTGCCTATCATAAAAAAATAAAAACATGATTTCCCCAACAATTCAATATATAAGATGTGGCACAGCTACTGACCTGGAAAAGATTAACTGAAGAAATATAATAGCCTGGGGACCAGCAGTTAGCGTACTGGCTATGTCCCTGGACTGCCATGTAGTCAACCACAGTTTGAGTCTCAGACCCAGTGGCTTAAACTCACGCTGGGTGCATGTGCATGCGTGCCCAAGATCCCGAGAGGAGAATGAAGGAGAAGAGATTGAGGCGTGGCCATCCCTCCTGGGGGGTGATTTCTCGTTTTTTGTCTCTCTCTGTCTTTCTGGTGCGTGCACACGCCCTATAGCAAAAAAAAAAAAAAAAAGATAGCTCTGCTACACTGCAAAGTGCCCTGCTTGTTTGGTGCGGCTGGAAGCAGAGTTCAGTAATTTGACTGACGTCAGTCAGCTGGGGCCTGAACTTGGTTCCCTGTAACTCCAAACTCCATGTCCATTTACTATACCATACAGTCTCACAATCGACTTGGGAATGTAGAGTAATAAATACACAAGTAGCAGCATGCACCTCAACCCTAACACAAGTAACATGAGCAAATACATGACAGGAATCACAATGGAGGGCCAGCAGGTGGCGCAGAGCTTAAGGTGGCTACATCCCATATGGCTGACAGGGGGTTGAGTCCTGAACCTGATGGCTTAGAAAATCACACTGGGCGCATATGAGTGTATGCCCAAAATCTCAAGAGGAGAATGCAGGAGAAGGGACTGTGGTGGGTAATTTCTTACTTTTCCCCTCTCTCTGGAGTGAGTACACATACCCTATGGCAAACTGAAAAAAAAAAAAAATCACAATACATTCTAAACCAAGGTGCACATCATACTAAGTTATTGTACTCTATATACAGGCTGGGACCACATGGGAGGTCTGGGTTCAATTCCTGATGCAACCTAAAAGGCCAGCCATGGTGGCATGTGCCTGGGATGACAGCGACTCAGCAGGCTGAGCATGAAGGCTGGCCAAGGCAACACATGTCTGAAAAGAACCCGGGGGCCGGATGGTGGCACAGCAGTAACCAAATGCTCGGTGCCTCTGAACTGCATGGGAGCATTCTGGGTTCATGTCCAGAAACTTCCTCAACATGCCAGGCAGGTACATGAACACAATCTAGGACTGAAGCCGGAGGTAGATTAAGTGATGGGGACCCTGTTGTGGGTGCCAGTCTCACTCTCTCTCTCTTTCTCTTTCTTGCTCACTCATGGAAGAAAGAAAAATTTTAAAAAAATTGGGAGGCCAGCCTGTGGTCTGGTTGTTAATGGAGCTGATCAATGGTTCAAGTCTCAAACCTAGCAGCTTGAAAAATTTGACAGGCACAGGTACTCGCATGTCCAAAATCTCAACAGGATGGAGAAATGGAGAAAGGATTACAGCATGACCATTCCCAATTGGGGGGTGAGGAGTGGGGAGTACGGTGTTTTCTCTTCTTCCCTCCCTGTCTCTGGTAAGCACACACACACTCTCTAATGAATTTTAAATAAATAAAAATAAGCTGGATGTGGGGGTACATGCCTGTATTTCTAGTTGGGAAGCTAATGCACGAGGATCGCAACACCGAGACCCTATCTTAAAATACACACAGACAAGATCGTAAGTTCTAATCTTGAGATAAATAAACAGAGCACTACAGAAAGTCCAAAAAGAGCAATTCCCTTTTCTACTTCAAGGGCAAGATTTTCTAGAACATCCGATAAACAGAAACATATCACAGGAAGAAGAGGGCCAAGAAGGTCATTCCATATAGTTGAAAGAGTAAGTACAGAGCCACGACCCCTTCAGAGAATGGTGAGTTCAGACAGGGAAGGTGTACGTGTAAGGCTGAGAAATGAGCTGGGGTGCCTGGAGAGCCAAGACACCTTTCCAGCCACAGCCTTACCTCCGAAGTCTTGAGTGAGATCTCCACACACATGGACCTCCCAACGGCAGGCAGCTGCCCTGCCAGGGCCTTCTTTGCTTCATGTGTAACCTCGGGGATGTCTTTGATTGCTAAATTGAACTAGAAAACAAAAGGGACTTTTGCATGAAACTCACAAGAAACGTTATGGAAATACAAAGTACTACGAGAGGTAATGCAGCCTTCAAGTGATTTGAGGAAGGAGACATCCATTCACTTCTCTCTTTCCATAAGAGAGACCCTGCATCAAAGCTTCAAACCTCAGACTGAAAAAGCTAGTTGCTCATGTCACTGGCTAACAGGTATGATTTGTGTCTTCTCAGGACTTAGCTTAGGACTTAGGACTGAGCTTCTCCTGTATCATAGCAGAAAGTTAACGATCAAATAAATACAAGACTAATATTCAACAAGGAATAAACTTTTCAAGTGAAAGGCTTAAACTGCAATGAAATATCTCTCCTTCCTCCTTCCACCTCCTGCAATGAAATATTTTAATATTACGATTTAGAAATACTATAAATAGTATTCCTTAATACTGATCTTGAGAACTATTCACATTCATTCCTTGTGATAAACACCAAAGTATACCCCTTAGCAAAGAGTAAGATTTTACCCAATCTGAACCCGTTGGGGATGAAGATGAACGAGTGCAAATCTTTTCACCAAGTCGAGCCTGGACAATCACTTGGACAGTCTAAAAAAAAGGAAACAAAAAGATAAGGAGTTCTAATAACCTGATTAGGCTCCTGATCAGGGTTAGAAACCTCAATACGAAGTTAAGAAGATGCCAATCAATCATAACTACACTCGAGAGAGGACAGAATTTTAACACTCAAGAACAGTGAGAAAAAACACTACACACACAAAATAATATAAACATTCCTGAGGGTACACTGTCGACCACTGAAAGGAGTTACAGTTTGAGGCTTGAAATCTATAACATTGTCACATGGCAGAACAGAAAGCTGCATATGGCAGCTGTGACATTCGTAAGAAACAATTACAACTGTGGGTTTAAATGCTCACTGCCACAAACTTACATCATCATAGTAGGTTTTAAGCAAGAATTGTATAATTCCTTATATCATTTAAACCATATGGCAAAAGTCTTCCAAATAATTTACAACTGGAATTGATTGCATAGGTCGTTTTAGCACGGCCATGATCGAGAGGACAGAACGATGGAGGCGGAAATGACTTAGGTAAATAGAGCACCCCAAATTCACTTTTAACTCCCCATTTGCCAGAAGAGAACAATAAATGGAAGTTGGACACTTTTAGGATTAGCTGAAACTTAGGAAAAGATGCCTGAAATGCTGCCCATTCCAGTTCACAGTCTCTGTTCTCACCCCAAGGGAACGTACTGTGCCAATGACCTGGCATAACAGTTTGACATTTCTACAAACCGCCTTACAAAAAAAAGTTTTTGAACACGTAGCTGTGGAAAATTGGAAGCTACTTTTTAGTTACACCCCCAATGCCACCCCCACGTTTCACAGTTTGGTTTACAATGGACAGAAGTAGCCCTTAAAATGGGCAAGCTGCAAGCTGTTAGGCTACATTTCCAGAAAGGGTTCTCAAAAGGGAGAAGCATGGAAGTTATTTTGAACAGTTCTAGGCTCAAGAAAATAGACATATTACCTTGAGGGCAAAAAATTTAATAAACTTGTCCAGGTCCTTTCTGTCTTGAGAATTGAGATCAGTTTCCATTGCCTATAGGAATCTAAACCAAAAACAAACAGAACAAAAAGTCATGAAAAATGAGATTAATACCATTGAAAGGGGACTTTTCACATCAAAGTAGACAGAGATGGTTATTTTCTACTAGCTATAGATAACCATGCCGAGTGGGAAGAAAAAAAATTCTTTTAACTAAAGAATACAAAAAAAAAAAATTAAGATGCTATCTCTTGAGGAAAGTAAACTTCACAAAGAGCTATATCTAAGAATCTAAAAAATGGGGACCAGCAGTTGGCATAATGGCTATGTTGCTGGACTCCCACGCAGTAGACCATGGTTTGAGTTCTGGACCCAGTGGCTTAAACTCACACCGGGCGCGTGTGTGTGCATGCCCAAGATTCCAAGAGGAGAATGGAGGAAAAGGGATTGCAGCATGGTCATCTCCCTGGGGGGTTGATTTCTCACTTTCTGTCTCTCTGTCTCTGTCTTTCTGGCGAGTGCATGTGCCCTATAGCAAACACCTCTCAAAAAAAAAGATGAAAAAATGGATGAGGATACTCTAACTGAATCTGAAATTTTTAGCTTTAAAAAGGACTTTTCTATTAAAAATTTTCAGACGATTTTTTTCTTTTTTCTTTCCTTTTAATGACATAGGACACACACTTTTGCCAGAGACACAGAGACAAGGAGAGAGAGAAAGTATCCCCAAGCGGGGATGGCCAAGCCATAATCCTGTAAGACTAAATTTTTTTTATCTGTCAGAGGACTTATGTGCTTGCCAGAGAGTGACGAGAGACAGAAAAAACCTCCAGGAGGGGCGTAGTGAGGCTTCAATCCCTGCTCTTCTATTTTTACATCTTGCTGGGACTCGGGCACACATCCAGGCATGATTGGAGTGTTTTCAAGCCACAAGGGCTGGGGTTTGAACCACATAGTCATGTGGGAGCTGGGTCCCTTAATCACAAGACTGGTCCAAGGACTAATTTTTGTTTGTCTGTTTGTTATAGGGCGCATGCGCTCACCAGACAGACAGAAAACAAGAAATCATCCTCCAGGGGGGATGGCCAGGCAGCAATCCCTTCTCTTCCAGACACCTATCGGGATTTGGGGCATGCAAGCACACACCCTTGGTGGGAGTTTTAAGTCGCCAGGTCTGAGACTCAAACCCCATTGGACTATGTGGGGGAGTCCAGCAGCTTATCTATTACGCCATCTGTTGGTCCCAGGATTAAGTTTTTGTTTTTGTTTCTGTTTTTAAAGTATTATTCTATTTAACTTTATTTATTGTTATTTTCTAGTTTGAACAGAGAGAGAAAGAGGGAAAATGAGAAAACAAGCCACCAGGTCCGGGACTTGAACCGTGATCAGCCTTGTGGGAGTCCAGCACTCTTAACAACCATGTCACCTGCTGGCCCTGTTAGGACCAAGTTTTAATAAGACAAAAATTTTGTTAAACACATATTAAATGAATTAATTTACATTACTTCTAAAAGTCCCCACATCACTTTAACTTGTGGGAGTTGTAAACTCTTCTAGAGAGTCTGGGGCCAGCAGGTGACATGGTGGTTAAGGGTGCTGGACTCCCACATGGCCGAACATGGTTTGAGTTCAGGGCCTGGCAGCTTGCTTTCTGACTTTCTCTCTCTCTCTTCTCTGGCTTGCTCTGTTTCTCTCTGGTCAAATTTAAATAAATAAACAAAGTTAAATAAAATAATTCTTTAAAAACAACAACAAAGGGACCAGCAGTTAGCATAATGGCTATGTCACTGGACTCCCATGTAGTCGACCGTGGTTTGCATCCCGGACCTGGTGGCTTAAAACTCATGCGGGGCGCGTGTGTGTGCGTGCCCAAGATCCCGAGAGGAGAATGGAGGAGAAGGGACTGCGGCGTGGCCATCCCCCCTGGGGGGTGATTTCTCGCTTTCTGTTTCTATGTCTCTCTCTGTCTGGCGAGCACACACACCCTACAGCAAATAAACCTCTCAAAAAAATTTAAAAAAAAATAAAAACAACAACAACAAAACCCTGGGACCAGCAGGTGAGCAGGTGGCGTGGTGGTTAAGGTGCTGGACACTGCCACATGGCTGACCATGGTTCAAGTCCTGGACCTGATGGCTTGTTTTCTCACTTTCTCTCTCTCTGATCAAATAAAATAAATGAATGAATAAATAAAATTAAATAAATAATTCTTTTAAAAAGAAAAGAAAAACCAGAGGCCCTACTGACAAGAAAAGTCATTTCTCCAAAAAAAATGTGCACATACAAAAATGTTTGCATGTGGGAACCAGCAGTTAGCGTAATGGCTATGTCGCTAGACTCCCACGTAGTCGACCGCAGTTCGCATCCTGGACCTGGTGGCTTAAAACTCACGCTGGGCGCGTGTGTGTGCGTGCCCAAGATCCCGAGAGGAGAATGGAGGAGAAGGGATTGTGGTGTGACCATCCCCCCTGGGGGGTGATTTCTCGCTTTCTGTCTCTGTGTCTCTCTCTGTCTGGCGAGCACATGCGCCCTATAGTGAAAAACCTCTCCAAAAAAGAAAAAAATGTTTGCATGTCATTTCAGTGGGTTTCATGGAGCATATCATAAATGTCTTTCCTATATGTTGAACAGTTTTGGATGAGCTGACAGGAAGAAGAGCGTTTAGGAAGAGAAGAGCATAAACAAAGAGATAACCAATAGGGAGCAGACCAGGTTTAGAAGTACTACGTGTCCATGGATCAGCAGATGGCATAATGTCTCTGAACTCCCACATGGTTGACCTGGCTGAGTCTCAGACCCAGTGGCTTGAAACACACCAGATGCGTGGACATGCATGCTCAAAATCGCAAGAGACTGAAGGAGAAGGGACTGTGGCGTGGACAGCGCCCCACTGGGGGATTTCTCGCTTTCTGACTCTGTGTCTCTCTGTCTTTCTGGTGAATTCATGCACCTTATAGCAAAAACCTCTTTAAAAAAAAAAGAGGAGTCAGCAGGCGGCGTAGTGGTTAAAGGTGCTGGACTCCCACATGGTCAACTACAGTTCAAGTCCCAGACCTGGTGGCTTGCTTTCTCACTTTCCCTCCCTCTCACTGATCAAACTAGAAAACAATAATAATAATAAATAAAGTTAAATAAAATAATTCTAAGAAAGACAGACAAACAGACAAAGTGTTCTAGTTTTCCAAAGGACTGGGTATGGACTGGCTAGGCCAAACCATGAGAGTCTGTAATACAATGCAAGACTCTGATCCGCAGCCAGTGAGCCAGGGAGGGAGCCCACTCAAGGCTTCTGCGAGGAAGTAACACAATCTTTTTTTTATATCACCCAAATGGTGTTCTAGAAATACAGCCTCACTGGCATAATGCAGAGCAGTTTCAAGTTAAGAAGCAGGAGGAGCCTGCCTCATGGTCTAGTAGTCAGGGGAGCTGGATCCTGCACAGCTGACCACATGGTTTGAAACCTGGCCCTGGTGGCTTGAAACGCATGCCAGGTGCATGTGCAGATGTGCCCAAAGTACCGATGGAACGGAGATATGGAAGAGAGGGTATTATGGCAAGGCCGCATCCCGTGGGGAGAAGGGTGGTTTCTACCTCTCCCTCTCTATCTCTCTGGTGAGCATACGGGACCTCCGGCAAAAGGAAAATAAAGTAAAATATGCAGAGAAGCCAGTTAGATCCTTGGCAACGCTTCACGCTAAGAGGCGAGATGGTGGTGCAGCAGTAAGAAGCAACGCTCTGTGAGGCTGACCCACAGGGGAGGGCTGCTGTGGTTCGAAACCTCCCCGAATGTGCAGGGCAGGCACGTGCCAGTGATCCGGGGCTGGCTGAAGTTGGGGGTGGATCACAGTGTGGATCCTGTTGGGTGGCCCGGCAGGTGGCATGATGGTTAAGGGTGCTGTACTCCCACGTGGCCCCACGAATCGAGTCCTGGACCTGGCGACTTGCTTTCTCACTTTCCCTCTCTCTCTCTGTCCCTCTCTGGTCAAATTAAAATGGACAAATAAATACAATAAAGTTAAATAAAAATAATTCTTTTAATAAAAGAGATCCTGTTAGGAGTACCTGTCTCTTTGTCTCTCTCTTGCTCAAAGAATAAATGAACTTTGGGGCCAGCAGTTGGCATAATGGCTATGTCACTGAACTCCCACGTAGTTGACTGTGGCTTGAGTCCTGGACCTGGTGGCTTAAACTCACACCAGGTGTGTGTGCGTGCGTGCCCAATATGCTGAAACGAGAATACAGGAGAAGGGATTGCGGCATGGCCATCCCCTGGGAGGTGATTTCCCAATTTCTGTCTCTTTCTGTCTTTCTAGTGAGTGCACGTGCGCTTTAGCAAAAAAAAAAAAAAACTCTCAAAAAAAAAATAAATGAACTTCATTATTTATTTATTTAGAGGTTTTTGCCCTAGGGCACATGTACTTGCCAGAAAGAGAGAAAAAGAGACAGTGAGAGAGAAAATGAGAAATCACCCCCCGAGGGAGGATGGCCACGCTGCAATCTCTTCTCCATTTTCCTCCAGGGATATTGGGCATGCATGCACACGCCCAGCATAATTTTCAAGTCACCGAGTTCAAGACTTGAACTGTGGTTGGACATGTATAAGTACAGCATGCAACTGCTATGCAATCTGCCTGCCACAGTAAATAAACTTTAAAAGAGTTGGCCCCGGGCTGGCCCCCTGACCTGATGGCTGAGGTTGACAGATCCCACACAACTGACTGTGCAGTTCAAGTCCTGGCCTCAGCAGGTTGGAAAACAGGTCAGACACATGAGCAAATGTACCCCAAATACCAGTGGGGTAAAGAAATGTTAGAATGGAAGAAAAGAGATTGCAGCACAACCACACCCCGCTTGAGGGTGCTTTCTTCCTCTCTTTCTATCTCTCTCTAGTGAGCACCCCAGTCCTCTGACAAAAAAAAAAAAAAAAAAAAAAAATCTATATGTTGATTACAAACCCTCTTTTTGTTCGGTTTTGTTTTTTAAATTGGCAGAGGGTTCATTCACTTACCAGAGCAAGAGATGGAGAGGGAGAAGCACCCCTCATTGAAGCATTTCCTCCATTGC